GAAAGATTTGGGCTGGCAGGAAAGCAGTTTTTACATTTCAGCTTCTATGGTCAGAACAGCTAGAAGACGACAGGGGAATCCAGAGAGTGCACACATTTCTATACTAGTTTGTCTGCCGCAAGAGAAAATGAGCAGTTTAACCTTGTATTTCAAGAAGGCAGAGAGATCCTGGTTTCCCATTCAGCTGTGATACAGCGGCTGAGTCAGCTTGCTTATTTACATTTTGCATGGTACATCTATTTTCTGGAACTTTAATATATTGCTACAGGTATCAATTAGGAAGTGATTAAAAGGCATTTATGCTTCATTCAGATAATCCCTTTCAGAGGGGGAAAAGTCTGTTTTTTCCTCTCATTCAGAAATAACTTGGACGTTGATCCAGAATTTCTGGTCTGGTGAAGACTTTCAGCAGTGTTTGCAGCTTGCTCTTTACCCAGTGCGTGCAGTCAGTAGGAATGAGAATACTGCCTGCCAGGGAACTGTAGGCTTCCTGCATGGAACAGCAAGTGAAAATGGAGTTGGGATGTGATCAGTGGTCAGGTCCCAGTACCACCTGTTCCTGGGGATGAGCATGGTGTAAACTCTTAGGGAGAGAGAGAATGCATTCCCTTGGTAATTAAAATGTGGATTTCATCCAATGCCCAGTTATGCCAGTGGGTATAACTCCCAAGCTTGCACCCTATCATTCCGTCCTGTTTGGATGGGCTACTTGCACGGTTGTGATGTGCTTAGTGCTGAGCTTCTGCAATCCTGTGCATAGCACAAATACAGTCTCCTGTGTTCCATTATGTGCACAGAGTGATTGTACATTGACTGCAGAGCCTATCCCCTGGGTAGAGAGAATAAAGCAAGGAGATGCCGCCTTTTCTGCACCCTCATGGAAGAGGTTAGACTCTCTCACCTTTTCTGACTTTTTGACAAACTGCTTTTAATGCAATTGTATAACCTGCAGTGGCACATGACCACAAAGAAATACAACCTGGGGGTCCCACAAAAATGCTATTGCATAAGTCTGTGTTCAGCTTTTCCTTTCTCATCAGCCAGAATCTCTTCAGAGACTAGGCAACCTACATAAATTTAGTTTGTGCTGCCCAAAATGTGCATGCTTACCGCTGAGGCTCTACTGAACAGGGTTTGGATTGCAGGGTACTTGCCTGTGATGGGGCTACTTATCTGCTAGGATCTAGGTTGAAACCACATGGCTATTTCAAGTAACCCTTTAAAATGGTAGTGAATTGCCTTCACTACCATGCAGCCCATAGCTTGATCACAGAGTTCTGAAGACAAAAGGTTCTGTGTCTAATTACTCAGCTGTCTTAGGGGTGTACTTGGTAGCCGTGTTGGTCTGAGACAAGAAGACATACAAAAAACTAGAACTCTTGGTTCCAAAATGATCTTTTATTATACCAACTGGGAAATCACAAGAAAATTGTCCTTTTCTACAAGCTTTCAGGATAAAAGTCCCTTTGTCAGGCTCTGGGAAAAGTATAGATGGTACAAGATTGTAAAAAGTCCTCATAAATAGTAAATAAACTTGATTTTTGCACAGAGGGAGCTGAAGATGGAAGGCTATCCCTATGGGTCCGTGAGTATGTCTTTGTGAATTGTGCTGAGTAGCTCTTTGATGTGTAGCTCAGGTAGAATACCTGAAGATACCAAATTTTAGCTGAGTTTGGATTTTAAACTTCATTGCAGAACAACAAGAAAGATTTTTTATTTCCCTGCCTGCCAAATGACACCTCCAGGGAAGGAATTCTACCTGATCTAAGGATATAAGGACAGGGTGGCAGAAGTTATAAGGTCAAAGATAGCTCATTTTGCCCAAGGATACCAGAATTTCTCATTATACCATGCCAACTTCTCATTTGTGGGGTCAGTCATTGGAACTGAAAGTTTATTTTAATAATGAGCTACATTCAGTTGAAGCTGGGAATCTCAGGGAACATATTTAAGTGCCCAAGGCAGATAGTCTGATGGAAAAATGCTCTCTGGTTCTAGAGCAAAGCTTGGCTAGTTTGATGAACAAGGCAAATGGTGGCAAAAAGCCTCATTATAATGGCCCAGTCAGGTTTTTCTAACCTTACCTACCAGGTTCATGCCTAGGAGCTGTTCCAAACATAGAGGATGAAGATGAAGATGACCATGTACGCAGCCACCCTTCAGGTCATGTGGGCCCTATGTGATGCTGGAGCTATTTTGGGTGTTCGTGCATGTGCCAGTACCTTCTCTATTTCTGCATCAAAGACACTGACAGCATGCAGTGATTGAAGGCCCAAAATGACCTCTCACCTTTTTCATAATGCTGTCCTGTACTGGCTACCACAGGCCACATTCTTTGTATTCATCCTCCCACTAAGCCCATACCCTACTCCTCTGATAGTGCCGGTGATTTAAATGCAGCAGTTCCCCAGGCATAGTGGGTCTCAACCCAAGCAGAGGTAGCAGGATCTGACCTTCATAGGGTCAGGAATTGCTCCTCTGGAGTGCTTTGGGATTTCCAGCATTTGCTTCCCTGAAAAGGATAGGTTCCCACGCCAGTGCTTACGTGTCACAGCTCTCTTTCATCTCTGATCACAGTAAGGCAAAGGTTACTGAGCAGGGCCTGATGTCACTCCTAGATTTACTGTCCCTGTATCTCAGTCAGTTTCAAAGACATCATCAGACGGAAGTGACACAGATGAAAGCCCACGGGGTGGCCTGTCCTGTTTTAGTGTTCCTAGGAAAGTCTTAATAGCGGAGAGAAACTCAATGTTCCACTGAGCTGCGAGCAACGTGATGCCGATAGTCCAGCATCCGCTTCTGTGTGCTGTTTGTGTACATTATGCTCTTGAGATCTGGAGTGGTATATATCATAGCCTGGAGAGACTGCAGGAGGGTGTGAATTTCCTTGAGCCTTGTTTTTGTTTCATGTTACATTGAGGCAGATGTGCAAAGGAATTTGTAGCCACTCCAGATTCTGCTGACAAAGCTGGTACAGTACTTGATTGGCACTGCATCCACCTTCCCTGCATCTGCCTACAGGAAATGAAGCATTCCAGCCTGAACCTGTTGATCATTTAACATTGTAGGGCTGAATCAAGGTTAAGTGTTAGATCTACATTTTAGATTAAGATGGAGGGAAAAAAAGATGAAGCTTTGCTTATGTCTTGTTGAAATCTAATTTGCATCTTTATTTGGTTTGCTTTTTGCAGCTAACTAATATTTCCAGAATACTCAAGAGGTAATCTTTTGTATAATGACATAGCCCTTAGGAAAAGATGTGTGCATGCAGTCGTACTTCAACATCTGCCAACCAAACCCATTTGTTAAAATTACTGTTTATCTCCTGTCCTCTGAACTAGGAAGGTTCAGAGCTGAGCTAATTCATAGTCGCCATACGCTCCACAAAAGGAGCTGGCTGGGTGTGTGTTTGAATGGGAGGCGACAGCTTCCTTAGGAAATAAACATTCTTAAAAGAGTTCATTGCCATTTTTTCCTCCTATCTCCTGTCACGCAAAATAATAAAATAAACACAGGGTGCCTCCCTGTGCAGAACCTGAGAGGCATTGAGCACTGCCACATTTGGAAATATTTA